TGAAAAATTGAGTTGATTGAAATGTTTTTTGTGAATTGTAATGTCTAAGAAGTTGATTGAGTTATTGTGTTCAATCTCGAGAGTGAATGAGATCTTAGGGTGTATTGCATTCAATTTTTGAAGGAGAAGATCAGCATGATTGTGGTTACCATCCAGAAAACAAAGACAGTCATCAACATACCTAAACCAATGTAGAATCTCTTTATTGGAGTTAGTGATTATATGTTGGTTTTCCAAGAAATCCATGAAAAGGTCGGCCAAGAAAGGTGACAAGCAACTTCCCAATAGTATTTTTTTCCTAATTTAAAAATAAAGTAAACTTGCTTTCAATTTCCATCTCATCCGAAATTTCCTTCCATAGCTTCTGTATTATGTTTCTGTTGCTGTGGGACTTGAGTCGCTTGTACCACTGCGCATTTCTTTGGAAAATTGCAGCAATAAGGAGTTCGACGTCCATTGTCATTTGTCCCGACCAGTCAGTCCGACCAGCGACCAAGAACTAAAAATTCATTCCGGAAAAAAATCGGCGCCGATCTGCACTTGCAACAAGCGCTGACCTGCTTTGTCTGTGTGCGGGTGCATTTAAATGTGCATTCAATTATTGGCGCTTATTTGTTACCTGCAAGCAGACAACCAGCTTTCTTTGTGTGCGTACCCTAAGGCCTTTACCAGGTTTTAATTTTAGCGTGTTGACAGATAGGGTGCAAAAAATGCTTATCAACACTTGAAGACATAAAAAATCCATTAGGGAATTGACTTACAATGGAAAATTTGGATGCGTTGGTGATAGTGAACTTAAATAAAGACATCTTGTGATAGTTGACTTGAGAATGAGTTATTTTTTAATTTTTTATTCTGCGTTTTCATTCAGCATTTATTGTTTTATCTCTGTTGTTATTATTTCATTAGGTCACATCTAAGTGTGGGGATGTGCCCCATAAATTGATCAATGTATGGGCCGCTATAGACTGAAATTTCCCGGCACACTTTCAAAAGTTCGTCCAGCCGTGGGTGGGCTTGCTATTTGAAGGCAATAACATTGTGGGGCAATATTTTACACTTTACAGCTTTACCCAATGGCCGTTAATTATTATAAATTGTTTTCCCTCCATAATTAAACTGTAGTCCATTTTCATGTCACGTCCAGCAAGCCCCTATTTTTGACCAATCATTCGGTCGATGGATGAACACATACTTCTCCGGGTTACAATTGGTCATGATTCGGTCACGTGACCGTACTGCACGAGCGCAAAACTAATCGTATCGTTCAGCGTAATCGGCTTGTCATTGTCATTAGCAACAACCAATGCAAGAAACACGATTTTGATTGAATATTGGAGAGCAATTAAAAAGACGCCGAGGTCGAATGAACCTCGATCCAACCCCCTAGCCCTTCTGATAAGTTAGCCCAATAACTTGTGATAAAAATTAATTTGTTTTCTATTTTTGAGTTTTCAAGAAATTGTTTCACCAAAATTTTGATAGAATATTTGAGAGTAATTTAAAGGACGTCGAATGAGCCTTGATTTACAAGGCTGCAATACAGGCAGCAAGCTATTTAGTCACCGACCGCGAGACGAAAGTTCAAGAAAAGCTAGACAATCGCGACGTGCATAAGAAGCTAAATGAAACACAAAACTACACTAAAATAAATAGTTTTAACACTGCATTTATTTTCTCCCGCCAAAAATGTCTGACGATTCAAAGATTAGGAGTTTTCAGGAATAATATCTTATTATACATGGTGTCCTCAGATAAGCTGACGCATTTTGCAGATAAATACCTCGAAAACGATAAAAGATAACAAGATGCGGTTTGTTCTGAGAGAATAGGATTTTTTTTTAGTTTTTTTTAACAGTATTGTCAAATCCTGAAACTTGCTGAAATTTGATCTTACAAGTTACAGACATGCGATTTTTTTAAATAATGCCTTATCGAGTGCCTTATTGTCAAACTTGCAGGATTTATTGAGTAGGCACTTTTCATCGAACAAAATAAACCGTGAATGGATCTCAGGCTCAGAAATGGAATTATGAATTTTTTCTCACTTAGATGCAAAAAATCATGATTTTTTTTTAAAATTAAATCACCTCTGAAAAATACTTCAAGCAATCAGACGAACTTCGAACTTTCAGGATTTATTGAGTAGGTAGGTTCTTTTTATCGAACCAAACAAACCGCGAGTGGATCTCAGATTCAGAAATGGAATTATGATCTTTTCTCACTTAGATGCAAAAAAAATATGTAAATTTTCTATTAAATCACCTTTAGAAACTTCTGAAAAATACTTTAAGCAATCAGAGGGACTTTGCAAACTTTCAGGATTTGTTGAGTTGGGCGAATTTATCAAACAGAAAAAACTGCGCATGTTTCTCAGACTCAGAAATAGAATTATGATTTATTTTTTTTCACTTAGATGCAATAAAGTCATTTATTTTATTTTATTTTTTCACTTAGATGCAATAAAGTCATTAAATCACATTTGACAGCTCCTGAAAAATACTTTAAGCAACCAGAGGAACTTCAAACTTTCAGGATTTATTGAGTAGCGTCTTTTTATCAAACAGAACAAACCGCAAATGATTCTCAGTTTCAGAAATAGAATTATGATTTTTTTCTCACTTAGATGCAATAAAATCATGTAAAATTTTTATTAATCCACCTTTGAAAACTTCTGAAAAATACTTCAAGATTGCTTGCTCTCTGATTGAGAGAGACTTCAGAATTTATTGAATTGAGTAGAGTCTTTTAATGGAACAAAACAAGTCGCAAGTGCATCTTAGGCTCAGAAATTAAATTATGAATTTTTTCTCAGTTAGATGCAATAGGAATCATGTGAAATTTATATTAAATAACCTTTGGAAGCTGCTGAAAAATACTTCAAGCAATCAGAGACACTTCAAACTTTTAGGATTTATTGAGTAGGGTCTTTCCATCAAATAGAACGAACCGCTAATAGTTCTCAAGCTCAGAAATGGAATTATGATTTTTTTCTCACTTAGATGCAAAAAAATTATGAGAAATTTCTATTAAATCACTTTTGGAAGGTTCGGAAAAATACTTCAAGCAATCAGAAGGACTTTAAAGGTGAAGGATCTATCGAGTAGCATCTTTTTATCAAACAGAACAAACCGCGAGTGGTCTCAGGCTCAGAAATGGAGTTATACATTTTTTCTCACTTAGATGCGATAGAATCATATGAAATTTATATCAAATAACGTTTGAAAGCTCCTGAAAAATACTTCAAGCAATCGGAGACACTTCAAACATTCGCAAATTGTCAAACAGTACAGGGAGTATCAGGTATGAGTACAAATATTTTAACATGAGGTAATATGGCCCATTTCAACCTAAGACTGTCCTATTAAGGCTATTATTCATGAGTCAATTGTTAGAATTTTCGGAATTATCGCAAAATTTAAATTTAAAAAAAAGTGTTAACAACATTGTAGAGATAATCTCTGCCAGGATATTAATGCAAATCAAACTGGTAAATTCTATTTTTTTGCAAGCATTTCATTTATTTCCACCTGTTTACGTTTCGGTTTGTTACTCGCTTTCAAATAATGTAAATAATAATTTGTATTTTTATCACTTTTCTAATAAAAATAGAAAATGTGCCGTTTTATTATGTTGTGAATTGCACTCAATGACATTTTTGCACTAAACATTCAAGAGAAAAAAAAATTTCACACTTACACTTCCCATATCACGTAATCTTTGTAAAACGGGTACAATGTTCTTTCATGAGGTGGATGCCCTTCTATTGGGAAATGTTTTCCTGTAAATTCTGGCAGCTAAATGAGCATTTTGCAACGATTCTGCCTTAACAAGTATCTGCATATTCGACGTTTGTGAATATTTTATTTTCAACCACCTATTCTTTGTTGTGCTATGTTGCCAAATATTCAGATACCGAATTACGAGTGGAGGTGTAATTTTTTTTCAATTTTTTATTATTGTTGTTGACTGAAAATGCATTATTACTTAATAATTGAATGAGTTAATTCTTTTTTTTTTTGATCTCATAATGATTAAAATTTTCTTTATCTTTAAAATATTCGTCAAAAAATGTCACAACTTCAAAGGCCTTTTTCTTAAAACGGTTGAGTTTGGACCTCATGTTGTAAAAACTTTTTTTGTTCAAAATGGGCCATTTTTTTAAGTGTTAAAACTTTTGTAGTCAAACCTGATACACCCCGTATAGAATATCAATTTATACTCGACTGGTCGACAACCAGTTTTTTTTAGTGACATTTCAGCCAGTATTATTAAGACAGACAAATAAAATATTTTCCTAGGGGTAATATTTTCTCAAATCTCGAACTGACCCCCCGATAATGTAATCCTATTTTTAGTCGTTCTAAAAAATTGACCGTTCCTAGACTATTGAACAAAAAAGCTTTGTTGAAATATTTCAGAAGCCGTGTAAAATAGGAACATGATATCAAGAGGTTTTAATAACAATTGAGCGCCGAATTTATTTCACTGAAAATAAAGTGGTGTTCCTATTTAAAAAAAGTTACCTACATTGTATGAAAACCGGTAAACTTGGCAACATTGTCGATGTCATCATTGAATCGGGTATCATTAATTACCCATATCGTCGGTAAAAGTGCAAAACCTCGTATATGTATCTCATAAAATTTTAGAGGAAATAGAAAAAAACATCCTAAATTAAGATGAAAGACTTTTTTGGCATATTTTTCTGAACTGTATTGAAGTATATTATTATATTACTGATGTCACTTTTTGATTTTTGTTTATTTCATTTATATTTTTCAAATAGTCATATACGGGGTTTTGTGCAACAATTATATATTTTTTTTTCGTATACGAGAATTTGTACCCAAAGTGTTTTAACTAGAATTCAATTAAATAAAATATTTTATCAAATCAAAAAGTACGTTTATTAAAAAATACCAACATTAAACGAACAGAACGAAAATCCCTAATAATAATTCTTATAGAACTAGATTCTTCACCATTAGCAAATAATATCAATGAGGTAAATTATCATAAAAATCCCAAAACTTTTTGTCAAGAACGACTTTTAAACTTTGTAGATGGTCATATTTCTCTTTTTTAATTTTTGGCTGAGATTTGTATAACAATGGAATATGCACAGGTATTTTATTGTTGGCAGTCGTTCTCTTTGGTAATGCTTCATAATTATCTCGATAATTAATTTTGTATAATATTTCTCCAGTTGGTGAGTATTTATAAGAACACACATCAGTGACCAAAGGCTCTCCAGGCTTACGACCTGGTCTGATAGATTGGTAGAGCTGGATATTTTTGAAATCCTTGAAGTCCGTGTAGCTCATGTATCTGACATTGTAAGGCTGTCCTCTTCTTGATTCCTTACAAACTGCAATGTAGTCGTGAGGCAAGTAAATATCACGATTTTTAAGCCGCCTTTCAATCGTACTATGGACGGAGTCAACCTCCATCTGAGTGTGTCCCTTCTGAAGGTAATTATGAGTAATAGTAACTTCATTTTTTAGGGAGAAATAGAGGAGAGTATTTGAAAGTGTGGCATTTTTATTTTGATAACCACATCCATCGCTATAGATTATGAATTCTTTTGTTGAATTATTTTCCAAGAGATAATTAGAGAAAAATTCTGACAATATAGTGGAAAAAATATTAGCCTCCAGTCCTCCTTGAGATTCGTCCCAAAGGTAACAAATTACATCCTTAGTTGCCATGTTGTAAATTGTATAATTATGAACGCAAAGCTTCGTTTTGTAATAAATTGCCCTGGCTTGGAGAACTGGAGGTAATTTCACTGCTTGTACATCTACACAAAAAGCAGCTATATCTTTGGGGTTACTGATGGCTTTGTCTTTATCTTCATTTTTCGAAATTCTTGCCTGTTCTTTTTTTTCCTGGTGCTTTAAATATTCCTCATCTGAAATATTTTTTAACTGATGGGAAATACACAAATCGCATTGGTCCTTTCTTGGCTTATAGATTTTCATATTGGCTCTCTCCATTTCTTCAATGAACACTGTTTTAGAAAGAAAACCTTTCTGACTACTTAGGCAGTAGTTTTTATATTCCCTGTAGAATTCCGCTTTACTTTTGAAAATTGGCTCCAAATATAACTTATTTGTACTAGCACGACAATAATGCGATTCCATTTTGGGGATATCTGAAAGAAACTTTCTCAAAACCTGTCTTGTACCATCTGTACTTTTTCTGTTCCTACCAGGTGTTTGTATACTTTCTGCAGGCAGATTAATTCCCTTATCTTTTTTCGCGTACTTACTCACCATCCATTCTCCTACATTTAATGTTGACAAAAACATCTTCTTGCAGACCTTCTTTTTTTCTGTTCCTTTTTTCAAATAGTAATGAAGAGTGCCGCTCCTTCTAGATCCTTCTACTTTCCGTCTGCTGGGGATTACATCGACCATTGGACTTAAAAAAGTTTTCTTCATATCCCATGTCAGCTCCCAGAATAATTTAAAAATTTGTTTTCTTTCATCTTCTGTAAATTCATTACAAAATATGGTTTTCGAAGTTCTGCATTTCGGAGAGTTACATCCAGGTTTCAAAGAACGTTCACTTTTCCTAGCCATTAATTTAAAGTGTCCATCATCATCTTTCTTCAAGCCTAAATACTCTTCGCCATGCATTCTAGATCTTTTGTTTTGATCTCTGGCTCTTCTTGTTTGAGGTAATTTTCGTTTAAATGTCCTATTTTGTTCATCTTCTTTTTCTTCCATTTCTCCTTCTTCTATTTCTCCTTTTTCTACATTATTATCGGCGTTTTCTGAACTAGAGCTCTCGGATGTTTCAACGAAATCTGGATCTATTAAGCTGCTATCTGACATTTCCGAGCCTGACGAAGTTCTTTCCAATAAATTGACTTCCTCATTTGGACTATATTCCTGTGCAAAGCTGGAATATTCCTCAACTATCATGTTTTCGAAATGTTCTGTTTCTGCTTCATTGGTATTAACTTCCTGGCCTGTGGCGGTCTCATTGTTGCCAGTATTTACGATATCATCATTATGATTTTGAATTTCTGTTACATTTATTTCTGGATATAAATTACTGTCTAGGAACTGATGTCTGTTTGCCTCTGGTGGATTGCCAAGATTCTCTAACTCTGCAATTTCATTTTGTAATAAATAATTTTCTTCAGGCAAAAAAATTATTGGAATTTCATCTAGGTTCACAACACTTGGACATTTTTCTTGAAAGTCTTCCCTCGAGTCTTCCTTTCTCTGCGTATTATTTGCCACATTACCTACAGCTTCAGAGTCCTCAGAAGCCTGAAAACTTAAAGCAGCCAATTCTACCAAATATCTGCCTCTGGAAGTTTGTCCCAATTTAGATTTATCCATAATTTCAAAGTAATGGTGCAAAACCTCGTATTTGCAAATTCTGAAAAAAATAAATTGAGTATTATAAAGTTTTTCTAACTAGTAATAAAGTAATTATTGCAGATTTTAAAATGAAAGGACTTTGTCAGCCACCTGTTTGCTCAGTAAACAAGATAATTGAATATTTAAAAATATCATAGCATATTGATATCAAGCGATTGTTATGAATTTTAAGAGAAATAATACAATAAAACATAACTTACCTCAATGTTTTGCTATTCACATAATATAAACATAAGCTTTTACTATTAATGAAGCAACTATAATTAAAATGAAGCACAAAATGTAAATTTGATTTTCGACACTGTCTGATGCTGGCTGATGCATTTATTCAACCTTAAAAAACGATCAATTTCGACACAAAATGACGTATTGTGATGACGTACAATCACAGTTTATACCGTACAATAACTCGTATTTGAAGGCTGTTGTCAAATACATGGTTTTGTGCGTCAGATGTTCAAATACAAGGAATTGCATATCGCTAATAAAAAAAGATCGACAATATTGACTAATACAAGACTTTGTACGTATGTGCGCAGACATGTGCAGTTTCAAATGGGACATTCGGCCCTATGCAGTAACGACATTGAGTTTAGAGTCAAGGTTGAAATAATTCCAATAAATATTGACTTGCATTTCAATAATGAAAAAAATTGGTATGCTGTAAGTACCCTTGATTTAATTTTATTGAAATAGAAAAACATTGAAATTGATGTCAAGTTTTTATGTGGCAACGTTGTAATTCTTTGTAAAATCGTGAAAAAAGAAGAGTTTTCGAGGGGTTCCTAACCTAAAAATACAAACTGAAAGTTTGTTTTGATTTTCCTAGTCAAGTCTAATTATTAATTTTTACTTTCTTTACCTTTTTTGTGGATTTAGAGTGAGTGGAAATTTGTTCTTGAGCTTATAAAAAAAATGCAAATAGATCATTGGCAAATTAGAACATATGGGTAAAACACTGCTTTTGGGTTTATTTTCTCAAATAGATTTTGAGGGAATGGAAATCCAGAATCGAGACCGAAGTCGAAAGCCAGATGAATTTATTTTGTATAAAGATGGGAATACATAGTGAGCATATACCTAGGTCGAGACTTATGTACTGTGTGTTTAGGAAAATCCATTGATGTGAACATACATGAAAAAAATTCAAGGTTTTCAAAATCTATTTATTTACCATAGAAAAGAGCCTGCAAGTCCTGAATAAATTAATTAACAATCTGATAATGATAATACTTCAAATAAGTAAATATAAACATGACGTTAACCAAAATATGCAGATGTACTTATTTATTATAATTCAAGGACAATAATTTTCCACCAACTGTTTTTTCACAATCACGACTCTGTTGTAAAGAATAGTTTCCCTGGACACGATAAAAATTCTCTTCTCCTCAATTTCTAACTTGATTTTTTCAGCTCCAATTTCGTCATCTTAAGAGCAGATTTTTCTTATCTAGCAAAGCGAAGCTCTACCCTAGTCAAGTTTAAATCATTTCATTTTATACCTTTATTGTATTGTAGAAAGTACCTACATTTTTTAATAGGCAATTGTGCTTTTGAGACAAATTTTAATGTGTTGGAAGGTACATCAGCATCAGCTTTAAAATTAGGAAACTTTAAAAGACAGGGGGCCTAGGTATAGGTACCTACCTATATTAAAAGATTAAGGGAGTGCGAGTATGTGGGTATACATATGGGACTTAACTGCTTTAAGGCCCTATACCTGGGTACTGTAAAGCAAATTGTGTAAATTGAGTAATTTGCACTATGCGGCAAAATATGATTTGATTTGAACTACCCATTTCTGAATTTTATTTTGAATTGATATAAAAAACAAATGCATTTTTCTTCCACAGCTTCACAAAAATCGAATTTCACATAATTAAATAAAACAAACTCCCAACAAAATCCCAAAAAAACAAATGTTTTAGGTTAAGTTTTGTTGTTGACATCATTTCAAGGTTTTTAACGGGCTAAATTTTGCGTTACGTTAGGATTATTGACTTTTTTTCAAGTTGACTTGGAATTTATTTCAATATTTTTCCTTACTGCATACCAAATATTGATATTCACGAGGTCACTTGACTTCATTTCAACATCTTGAAATTATAAAATGTCAATAATTGAAAAGTGGACTTACTGCATAGCAAATATTGAAATGTCTGTACAATTTCAATTTTATGTCCCATTTCAACCTTGACTTCAAGTCAATGTCCTTACTGCATAGCCCTGAATAAAGCGATTTTCGTCAGAAATTGCAAATACGAGGTATTGCACTTTCACCGACGATATGCAGAAAAATTCGTAATGCTATTTTGAGCCGCTCTGGAAATATTTGACCGTTCCCAGACTTTTGAACAAAAAGGCTGTATTGCAATATTTCAGGAACCATGTAAAATAGGAACATGATATCAACAGGTTTTAATAACAATAGAGCGCCGAATTTATTGCAATATAAATAAAGTGGTATTCCTATTTGAAAAAACGAGTGATCCCACATTATCTGAAAACCGGTAAACTTGGCAATATTGTCGATGTCATCATTGAATCAGGCATCATTAATTACCCATATGCAGAAAATTTCGTAATTCTATTTCGAGCCGCTATGGAAATATTTGACCTTTCCCAGCCTTTTGAAACACACTGTATATCTTTGCCTCAACTGACTGACCTCCCGCTTGTGCGGGGTAGGAGAAATTGGTAAAAAGTACATCACTGTCTTGCTTCGAAATTGTAAGGTGTATTCTAGTTTTATTGAAAAAAGTTTCTCTATGAACCTTGTAGTATGTTTTTTTTTTGGTAGAAATTATTTGATTTTTATAAGGGTTAATACTTTTTTCTGTATAGGTGGCGCCTATTATGAGGTTGTTGTGGTTTGAATGAGCTGTTTCATTATTCGAATTTTGGGCAGATTCATTGTTTCCTGTTGTTAGGTCAATTATATCATCTGCGGATTTTATAAGAATATTTTCGCGAATGACTACCTTTTTGAGTTTGATCAAGATTTTAATTTTTATTCAATGAATAATTGTTGGAAATTCCAAGGATTTCATCGATTTCTTCTTTTGTTAGATTTGGTAAGTCGACTGCATCGCCCGTGTTAAATTTGCCTTTTTTATATACAATTTCGTAGTCATACTCTTCAAGTTTAAGTCTCCATCGGATCAGTTTAGAAATTGGATCTTTTAGAGAAAATAGCAAGGGTTGATGATCACTAATTATTTTGAATTTGACTCCGAATAAATATGGTTTGAAATATTTGGCTGCCCATACGATAGCAAGCAGTTCCTTTTCTATTGTACTATAATTGATCTCCGAAGGATTTAAGATTCGAGAGGCATAGGCGACTAGAAGATCGTTACCTACAGGGCCTTGACATAGGCAAAGTTAGATGCATCCGTGGTTAAGTTGAAAGGCTTTGGGAAATCTGGATATTGGAGAATGGGGTCATTCATTGAGATTTTCCTGCAAGTATTGAAAGAATTGATGAATTCGGGACTGTGTTCAATCTTTTGATTTTTTATGAGGCAGTGTGTCATGGGTTTCGTTAATTTCGCAAAATCCTTTATGAATTTGCGGCAATACCCGACTAATCTTAGAAAGGGTTTTATTTCCTTGGGGGCCTTTGGAATAGGAACGTTTTCAATTGCTTTAATTTTTTTTGGGTCGGGTTCTATACCTTCAGGTGTTATTATATGGCCCAAAAGTTCGACAGTCTTGCATAAAAAATCCGATTTGTCGAGCTGAATTTTAAGTCCAGCGTCTCTCAGTCTTCCAAGAGGACTTATTCTAGATGATTTAGAGATGTTGAAAATATTATGTCGTCCATGTAGACAAGCTTTTTTTTTCTGAAGGCCTTTTAAGACATCATCCATTACTCTCTGGAAGCTCGAGGGGAATTTTTGAGTCCGAAGGGCATTCTTAGGTACTCATAATGTCCATTTTCGATATTAAAAGCAGTCTTAGGGACGGAATTTGCGTGCATTTCAATCTGGTGAAAGCCAGAAACTAGGTCGAGAGTGGTGAAGTATTGGCACCTTCCAAGTTTGCCTGGGATGTCTGTGATGTTGGGTAAGTGATATCGGTCGTCAATTGTTTTTTCGTTCACCTTCCTGTAGTGGATGACTATTCGCCATTTTTGTTTACCACTGGCGTCATTTTTTTTGGGGACGATCTAAATGGGGGAACTCCAGGGGGATTGTGATGGTCTGATTATTCCGTATTCAAGCATTTTTAATATTCGCTTTTGGACTTCAGTTTTGTGTACAAAGGAATATCTATAAGATTTAGTATAGATGGGTATGTCGTCTGTTTTGATTTATTTGTGTTGTATGTAAGTTTCTGATTGGGTTGACGTAATATTGTTTTATGCTTAGAAAGCAGATTTTTTAAGGCTGTTTTTTCCTCGGGGTTCATGTGTTCGGTTCGAATCAAGGAGAATTCAAAGTTGTTATCTCCTGGTGTGAGTGAAGGGGATAGTTGTTCTATGTGAAAACACTCGTAGTGAATTTCATTATATTCCTTTGCGAACGGGGTTAAAAGATCTTGATTTATTTCTATTTTTTTTTTTTTTTTTTTTACGGATATGCGCACTCGCAAGGAAATGTCCTATCACGCTCGAGAAGCGGCAAGTGCGCGGAAATGTCGGTGTATGTTGGTTTTGAAACGGTTCAGGTTGTAACCTGCAGGGAAAACCGTCGCAAGGAGTTTATTCCACAGCGATGCTGTTCTCCAGAGATATGGATTCTGATATAATGAGGTACTTGGTGCCTCTAGTTTGACAGTAAATTCATGGTTACCGTCTGTTTGACGGGTTCGCCTGGTAGATGCTACTCTCGGTGGAATCATACGTGCCAACTCTTCAGAGCATTTTCCGTGATAGTACCTGTAGAAGAGAGATAAATCGCCCACAGATCTGCGATGTTCGAGACCATCCAAGTTACGAGTAAGTGCGGGGTCATTGATCAGCTTGATAGCTCGTTTTTGCACGGTATTCAA